TTAGAGTTTGTATCAATGATAAACATTAATTTTACTGACAATTACACAAATTTGGCTTAGCAAGTGGTGGGATGTGACAAACTCAATAGGCATTGTTATAGCCAAGAGATAATAGTTAGAAGATCATAGTCAAGCAATTGTAGTTGGAGGATATCATTCAAATGATGATAGCTAGAAGATTGTAGTCGGACGATTGTGGTCAAAGGAACATAGGTGAATGATTGTGGTTGAATGACTACAATTGAGTGATGGTGGTTGAAGAACTCTGGTGAAGCAAAAAAAAGGTTGGAGGACTGTAGTTAAGAAATAGTGATTGGAGGGGCATAATTGGGCGCAATGGTGGTTAAAAGATAGTAATTGAGTGATAAAAGAAAATAAAAGTCGATAGATCGATGGTGTTTGGAGGATCAAAGTTCAACAATGATGGTTATAGGGATGTAGTCAACCAACAAAAGTTGAAGGACCCTAGTTAGGTCACAGTGGTCATAGGCCTAAATTCAGGCAACAATAATTGGAGGACTGGAGTCTGACGATGATGGTTAGAGGATCGAAGTCACATTGATTGGAGGACCATATGTGGGCAATAGTGGTCAATGGACTATTATTGAGCAATAGTGTTCACAGGACCTTAGTTTGGTGATGAAGGTCAAAGGTCCATAAACGAGTGATGAAGGTCAAATGGCCATAGTCAGTTGATGGAGGTTAGAAGGCTAAAGTACCTTACCATGGTGGTTGGAGAAATGTAGTGGTCACGGGATCATTGTCAGGCAACAATAGTCAAAGGATCATTATTGGGTGAGGGGGTTTGGTGATGTTAGTAGGACGATGGTACGATAGTGGCTGTAGAGCAGTGGTTTGACATGGGCATTTAGGCAATGTTCGAATGGCAGTGGTTTAGTGATTGTTCAATAATGGTAGTTGGACAGTGTTTAGAAGGCTGTGGTCCGATTATGATCCAAATGTAGTGTGAAGTTGTGGTTCGATGGTGGCAGTGTTTCGATAATGGTTTTCAGGAAATCATCTAATGGGGATATTCAAGTAGTGGTCTAACAATGATAATAAGCTTGTAATGTGATAGTGATGGTAAAACAAAGGTCTGACAATGGTGCTTCGGTGGAGCTTCGGGGTCCTTAAAATATTTGGGCTCTCTTAAATTTCAAGTAAGGGCATCCTGGCTCTTTTCATATAAAAAGTGGGGTCCTATTTATATATTTTTAAGAATGGTTTGCTTTATGAATATAGCTATAAAATCCATAATATTTTATATGACAAACCCAATTAATTCTCTTGATCATAAAATGTTATTTTTATCATTTAAAATGAGTTGAAACGAAGTGATCTTGTGCTCTTTGGATTCGTCTTGTGAGATTGAGAGATCCATTGGTCCTTGAATTAATGTCCTAAACTTTCCTATTGTGTTTCATTTGTTGGATTTGGGTTCACTCAATCTCAAATTAGACCACTTTTATTGTCGTTAGGTTCATCTCGTTGAGACATACAGTCTGACTACAAGTTTGCTAAAATTGTTATTTATATGGTTTTAAATATAAATTTAGGTGGCTTTGAACTTGAATTTAGAAAGTTTCTACATTAACAATGCATCGAGATTCGTATTTGATCAACCCCATTTTTTATGAACTATCGAGCTTAATTAAATATTATGGATATGAAATTTATCTTTTCAGTATTGACAGCTTGAAATAAGGTCTAATGTGCTAATAATTTGGCTTAAAAAACATTTCAAATATGATTGAGGTTTTTATACAATAAACTTATATGTACTAAAAATCAATGTATTCTAATAAGATGATTTTTTTCTTTTTGAAGTAAACAAATATGAAGTCTTAATTGGGCCAATGTTATATTTTGTGTGAAGTGTTATGACCCAGCACACAAGTCACCTTTAGGCCCCCATTTGCTGTACGAGAGAATATTTTAAAGAACTAATAATTTTATATTTTGCACATGAAAATAGAATTATTATATTTAAACACCTATTTTTTAGTTTTAAATTTAATTTAATTTCATATTAGAGATCATTGAAATATTCTTGGATGTAATTAAAATTTAATTGGAGTGAATTTAAGGAATTGGCTCTATTTAAATAGTAAAAATATGAGTTCAAGAAAAAATGTATAAATAAATAAACTTAAATTAATGAGTGATTATTTCAAATAAATAAATATCTTTGTTTCGTGGCCTTCAAATATTGTCGCCCAATTCTTCGAGGAAAAAATTTATAAGATTATTTTGCGCCAAAATATATTCATGATATAAAGATACAATGATAACATATTTTATGAGAAAAATATCTAAATAATTTATTAGATAAATAAGAATTAATATATCGCTAAATATGATAGTGTTATGAAGAGATGATTTAGTTTCTTAACCTCGAATAAAGATTTTGAAATTTAAATACAATGCCCACGAGATATTAGGTTTATAAGCGAAAATACGAAAAGTGAATAGGTATAGCATAAATGAAATAGTTTTTACTAGTTGTTATCCTAGCTTTGAATAGCTTAGAAAAGAACTAGGCAACTTAGAAGAGACTAAGTAGCAGAGGAAAAAATTAGATAATTGTGTTGCACCCTAAGCAGTGATCAAAAGATTGAAATTATTTATAATCCGAGAATTTTTCTTTAGTTCATAACATATTAAGATGTTTATATTGTGCATATTTTAGACTTATTTATTTTTAGAAGGCATATTTTACTCAATTCTACTGAAACTTATTAATCCACATAGATATTGAAGAGTAAAAATTGTACATTCCATCGACCTAAATATTGAATGAAAGATCACTCATATAGCCCAACTAATAGAATTACATGGGAGAAGATCAACATGAGCTAATGACAGGGAAGAGACAACAACTATCACCAATAAGGTTCTTAATAGGAAATTGGAGAGTATCATCTAAACACACAGCTCATTGCCATAAGTCTAAGCATAGCATGAAAGAATGGCTTTTTGTGGTCAAAACTATTGGAAATAAGTCATCCATCATCAGAGAAGTAATCTTTCGGTGGATTTTCATAGGCCTACAGTATGCCAATAAAAATCCCACCATAAATACTTTCAATGCGATAAAAAAATTACTATAGCAACTTTTCGTTCATATGACGTCGGTCGATGCCTAGCTTGAAATTGTCAGAATCGGGCATCCTACAAAAATCACCACCCAAAGCTCGCCAAAATTTCTAACAATCCGATGTTTAGGCTGTCAAAAAATTTGGTGAGCCTTAGACATCAAATTTAGCTCCTCCATGCCCATATATTTATACATTTGGCTATTTATCCCTTGGAAACTTTTATTAATGTGTGTGTTTATTCATAAAAATATGAATATGTATGGCCATCTTACCATGAACAGGATGGGCCTAATAGCCTTTAATGTTTTATTGATGTGTGTGCATATTCATATTTTTTTGAGAATCTAACCTATGGGTTGTTATGTTCAACTACAATATATTTATTTTATTTGTTATAACTTATGTGAACATATCATTGATACAAAGTATAATCTAACCATTTTATCTTTATATATATTTTATTTGTATTCATACTCTAATTTATAATGGGGTTTATATGAAACTTGAACATTTTGATTTTTTTGAACCATAACTCATCTCATTTTCTTGTGGATTTCATTAAGAAGGCATTAATACCTTTTTAATTCTCTTTTGGTTGGCTTGCCTCTTTTGATTTTAGTTTTCGTACAGATAATTTTGGTGGGAACTAATGGATTCAAGTTTTATAGCTTCTTCTAGGGTTTTAATTTTTTTCAGTTTTTCTCCTTCTAATATTGTGAATGAGAACTATAAAGTTAGATTTGTTACTCTGAATATATTTGGGCTGTGACCTGCCCATATTTTGAAAAAAGTATTTGTGCAACACATTAGCTAGTAATATCTTGTCTCAAAAGGCTTCTTTAAAACTACTACATTCTCTTAGAGGTTTGAAAGATTTAAACTACTATGTTGATGAAGTTAATAAACTTGCCACTCCTTCTGAATTTTCTTTTTTTGGCATTATTCTATGAAAAGATTGGATATTTTCTTTAAAAATTTGTTTTTGTAATCCTTGGGGCTTATTGATCCAAAATATATTCTAATTAGGGTTAATAATGAGGCTTATAGTTGAACTTTTACTAATCGGCCTAGTTATCTTATATTCTAAGCAGGGTTTTCAAATGATCACTTTTAATTATTATTTAGGCTAAATCTCCTCAAGGGATGTCAATAGATGATATGGAAGCATCTCACATTTGGCTACCGCATCATCAAAAGTCATAGGTAAAGCATAATGGTGAATATGTTTTAAGGAGCATTTTATTGATTCTTCTACTGCTTAAAAACAAGTTAGCTGTAACCTACTTGAGAAAAGGCCTAATATCAAAGGATATGATGCTAATGATGATATAAACCCATGATGGGGGACTTTTTTTTTTTTTTTAAGTTTATATGTGTAATTTATGATAAATAATTTCTCTAGGTTTTTCTTAAGAAAAAAAAATATAATAAATAGTTAAAAGAGATAAGGTGATAAAAAAAAGTGACTGATATTCATAATCGAAATTAAAGTAAAATTTTAATCCAAAAGTTATTTAAATTAAAATTTTGTGTGTCAAAATATTACTTTTAAAAATATTAAAAAATTATCCCAAATAAGAACTTAAAATAAATTTGGGAAAATTATCAGCTTCTCCTTCAGCAAAATCCTCCTTATTCTTCCAAGTTCATAACAGTCCAAAAGTATAAGGCTGGCTTATCAACTTCTGGTCAATTCCTGTTCTCCCTCGTCACGTGATCTGTTCGTTTCACTTTGTCACGTAATGCTCACGTGGCAAGTCCGTTAAAATTTTTGAAGAGGGAATCAGAGTCGCAGAAAACTGGTCCAATGATTTATAGGAATAAATCTGACCGTCCGACAAGTCGGCTATTCTGCAATAATAATTTATATGAAAAAAAAAATTATATTAGAATTTCTTGAAAGGACTCGAAAATTTTCAAATTTATATGGAAGCCGATTCGGAAAGGTTTGTCATCGGGATATCCTCATACAAAAATTTTCCAATTTTTTCGGAGGAGTTTAATGGAAGAAGAATTAAAGAACGGCGGCGGACGGCCACGACGGCAAGTCAGTAAACGTTGTAGTCCTGGTATATCATCTCCGTCCCGGCGGAGGCAATGGAGGCGGAGGGGAAGGTGGCCGACGGGGAAGCATTGTCGTGGCGGCGGAGTATTAGAAGCTCCTTCTGGCGGCGGAGCTCCATGACCTTGCGGTGAGAGTTGGAGTGCTGCGTTAGAACGAAGGTTGGGCTCGCCGCCGGCCGATACTCTGGCACAAGCCGGCCGGACTTGAACCGCACGCCGCAAGCGTTGCAGAGCGTTTTCGGTCCGAGAGGACCAGTCCGCCACTGCGGCGTCTTCTCGGACGCGCAGTGCGTGCACTGCCGGACTCCACCGCCGTCCTCCACCGTCTCCCCCGTTGCGAGTTTCTTCCTGCTACTTCCCTTGGTCGTCGGGAAATCTGATGAAGATGAGGAGGAGGTCGTCGAGGATGAAGGCGTAAGCGACGACCAAGCAGAAGCCGCGTGGTGATTCGCCTCTGATTCAACTACAGTAAGCACACCGCGGGATCTCTTGCTCCTCGCGCCGCGGACGACGTTGGATACGTCGGCGCGGTGAGCGGTAGCGTTAGGCAGCGCTGTCTCCGCCGCGAGTGATTGGACAGGTACATCGGAGAAGGAATCCTCAACGAACTTTGACAGCCATTCCAGCTCTGCAACTTCATCGCTCTGCCAAAAACATTACACATACAAAGCGATATCAATTGAAGTAGCCATGAATTGTTAATCGTAACTTAGATATGCTGGCATTAATAATCTGATAAGGAAATTTTCATAAGATCACGATTAATATTTATCAATTAAAAAACTTTAATAAGATTAAGCAAAAAAAGACAAAACTTTAACATTATCTATTAGCAAACTACCTTATTTATAGAAAAAAAATCATAATTTTATTTATTTTATTCATCCAAGAAAAAGAAATTAAAGTCAAAATAAAAATTTTATTATAAAGAAGCATAAGAGAACTCTTGATTACTGATATTCATTCTATTCATTCATCAGCTAGCTTCACTCGGGCACTACAGCAACAGAAGAGAACAATTCCAAAAGTAGCCATAATGGATATATACTTTGTTTAATAAGCTGCTTACAGGTATGTAGATATCGTCAGCAAAGGAGGCATGGCGTGGATAATGGTATTCTGGGTTGGAAACGTGGCCGGCGGAGAACTGCGCCGCCGGAACCAGGTTAGCCTCGGCAGCAACCGAAGAGGAAGAAGACGAAGAAGCGAAGAGGTCATGGTGGCTAAAATCAAGCAACTCGTCAACCCTCAGCGTCGTCTCTGCAGCGGCCGGCACCCCGTATATATATGCCGGCGCCGAAGCCGAACCAAACCCCGCCGGCATCCCCACTCCCATTCCAAACTCCATCTCCCATTGCCGCGCCATAACAAAAACTTCCAAAATGAACAGAGAGCAGAAGACGTACACCAAGCACTACTGCGTGCAACTGGCAGGAAGGAGTAATGGAAGACAGACCAGGATATATATCTATATATAAATAGTGAGAGCTGATACGAAAAAGACCTAATTAACCAGCACAGGTAGAAGATGAATTTCTTATTACAGTAACTATATTTGAAGAGGGTAGAAGAAACCAGTAATAATGGCTTGCGGTGGAAACAGAAGCTTAAGCTGCCTCATGGATTGAAGCCTTCAACAGGCCCATCCTCTTCCTTTAAAGCCCTCAATTCACCCGCTACTCTGCTCTCTCTCTCACTCTCTCTCTCCTCCATGTGAGCTTCGTCATTTATCACTATTATATAGTGTAAGATGTGGCCGTCCTGCACTGGATCCCCACTTCCTCCTCGAGAAAGAAAGCATATGCGCTTCTTTTGTGTGCTGGTTCCATTCTGATAAATTTGATAATTTCACCTTCATTTCGCTCTAGCTAGTGCTTAGAAAAATGGCTATGTACGCCATGGTAAGGAACAAATACTGAGAAATATGGAATGCGTTTATCAAAGGATTCATTACTTGTTATAAAAGTCAGCTGGTGAAGAAATAAATGCAAGCACAATGTCCGATTACCGCAGCTTCGCCAATAAGAGTGATTGATCGCCGTCCATTTTGACATTTTTAACGGTCAAGATTATTCTGGACTGCTTAGGCAATATTTATTATAAAATAATTTGAAAGTGTCATAAGAAAATTATTTGTTCATTAGTCCACCTCACTAAATGGCATCGACTTTTATAGAGATATTTTTGAGAGGAGAGTGTTCTGTTTAAAGCGTTGGTGGTGGGGTGGGTTGAGGGGGACACGTGGAGTGTCGGGATGTGGGGACCACCATGCTCGTGGAGCGCGTTTACTTCGCCGTCTGGATTCTCCTACGCCAATCCCGGTGAGCCGCCGACGTGGGAAGGAAATTTGGTGCACTGGAGCTGAACTGCACCCAGCGCGAACCCACCTGACAGCTGTAATACAGGAAGGGGTGGTAGCGGGGGGTGTTGTGACTGGATTTCTCCATTGGTTGGAAAGCGACTGTGGAGTCGACGGCGACGGCGGGGGTTGTACTAATGAGCATCAGCCGCCTTGCAGCGCGCGAGGCCTGGCGCGGCGTGCCCGCGTCCGCCGACAAACGGGGTTCGTACGGAATATCGGTGCAACTTGACGTGGCGTGGGTCCCGCATTTCAGAGAAAGGAGCGTTCGCCAGCTGTACACCCTTGCCCTTCTGTACGGCGCATGCCCACCATGGGTCCATGACCTTACCCAAAAAAAAAATTCTTGCTTCCATTTGCTAAGCGGTACTTTATCAGGTAATTCAAACTTTTGTTTTTGTTAAAATTTTAATAACAACAGTAAGGTATATTTTATATATTAGCAATATATAAAGATTTAGTACATAAAATATAAATGATAGGATTATGTGAAAAACTCGTAAAAGAAAAAAAATCATAAGGCCTGGCTCAACCGTAAAATCTACTATATAACAAAAATTATACAAATATTCATCTATTTTCATTGTTGAAGAAAGGGAGATTATAAAGACCAAGCATTCACATAGGGATAGTCTATGTCTAACAACATGGCTTAATTTTTTTAATATGAATTATATAAATATATATCCACAAGCAGACAAATATACCCAACAATAGGGTCAAATATCATCAATATTTTAGAGATGATGATGATTTCTGGTGTTGGTCGTCGGCGGTGATGATGGTTGTTGGTAGCGATAGCTGGTAGTGACATCGTCGACTGCGATGGCTAGAAAATGCAAGAGAGTTCTATATATAGCTCTCTATAACTAGGGTGTTTAAATGCACGCTTAATGACATAATTTTTTGCTCTTAAGAAGTTTATTGTCATAAAAATGGTTTGCTTTTAGTAAATATATTAATAGAATGGTAATGTATATGTAATTAGAAGTAAAACAGTAGTAGCATCTTGTTAAACCAAAATATGCATAATTTTTAAGTACATTAGACATTAGTCATTATTATGTGGCATCAATCGGTTAGCCACGTACACGTGGCTCCCTCAGGTTGGCCATCCACATGTACTTTCTTGTTTTACATTACCTCTCATGTATGCTTTCTCTATTTATATCAACAATGCACTATTGTAAAAGAATTGAATAGAATTACTTTGCTCTGTTTCTTTCTTGCTTTCCCGTGAGTCTTTCTTTCTCACTTTATCTACATGGTATTAGACGTCTCTCTCTGATCCTCGCCCCAATGAGCGTATTCGACTGCCTTTGCCACCCGTGGCTAAAGCCATACTCTACCAACAAACTCTCTCCTCTATCTACCCCGTGCGTCTTCATCGGTTACCCTACCACTCAAAAAGGCTACAAGGTGCCTACATCCCAACACAAACAAAATCTATACATCTTGTCTTGTTATTTTTAACGAAAACTTCTTTCCCTATTCAAATCAATTCCATCACTCATCACCTCACGATTCTACTCCGCTCATGACACCACCACTACTTCTCGTGCCAACAACTCAAATACCCTCCTCAATTACCACAATCTCCACATCTTCCACCACCAACTCTGCTCCCTTTTCTCATTCAAAATCTGCACAAATCCCTTCTACTGATACTCAACCCTAACCTGCACTCCCAACTGCACCTGAGATCATAGTACCCTTACCCTCCAACTCAGCCGATCAAACTCAACCTCTTGCAGTTGCTCCACCTCCGTCCATGCCTATACACCACATGATAACCCGCCTCAAAAGCGAGAAATCAAATCCCAAGAAATTTTTTGAACTGCTTCACACCTTTCAAAACAATGAACCAACCACTTATAATTAGGCCATGAAATCAGAACAATGGTGAAAGGCAATGTGTCTCAAGAATTCCAAGCTCTGCAAGTGCAAGGTACCTGGGAGTTGGTTCCTCCCGCCCCCTCTCAAAATGTCCTTGGCTGCAAATGGACGTTCCACACTAAATTCAACTCGGACAGGTCAATAGCTAGATACAAAGCTCGCTTGGTCACTAAAGGATACAATCAAGAACACGGTCTAGATTACACCGAGACGTTCATACCCATCGCAAAAATGCCAACTATACGGGTGCTTATCTTCATCGAACTACAACTGGGACATTCATCATCTTGATTTATCCAATACATTCCTTCACGGCACCCTATCAAAAACTGTCTACATGCACCAACCTCCGGGCTTCCAAGATTCAATTCATCCCAACTACGTCTGCAAACTGAAGAAAGTCCTATACGGCCTCAAGCAATCACCACGGGAGTGGTATGCTACTCTCTTCAACCATCTGATCAACTTCAGGTTTCACATCAGCAACTCAAGCCCCTCGCTTCAGATTTAGGGCAAAGAAGGGGCAAAAATATTTTTTTAGAGGGGGCAAATTGCTTAACTGCCCTAACCTGTAATTAAAAAAAAAATTTAAGGGGGGGCAATTGCCCCCCCTGAAAGCAACTTGGTTCCGCCCTTGGGTCCACTATGTGTTTGGTTGCTTTTCCCTCTGTTATCTTGGATGGTTAGCATTTGGTCCTATGGTTGGTCTGAGGTGGAGGCTTGGTTGTCGCTATGTTTTTCCTTTTGTAGTTTCCTGGGGGACTTTTGATGGCTTCAGTTTATTTGGTGTTGCTAACTATTGTTGGCTTTCAATTTGTTGGATGATTTTGCTGCAGTTTGCAGGGTGGTGTCTCATGTATGGCTGGTTAGTGTTATTCAGTGGGTTGGTCTTTCTGTTTTGGTGGAGGATTTATGATTTAATTGCTTTGATAAGTTCTTCTCTGCTTACAGTGTTTTTGGTATCTGCTTCTTATATTATTGTTATTATGGTTATACTCTTATAGGGTTGGTATTTGGCCTAGGGTACCCTTTTGGCTGGGGTATTTTGATTATTTATTTTGTCTCCTCCATCATTGCTTCAGGCTCTGCCTTCCGACTATTGTTTGCCTCCTTTAAGGACCTTGT